AAGTGGAATCAGCTAGGATACTGTCAAGAGTGGTTTAGAGTAAAACAAGTTGTTTTCAAGGGAATATAACAATACATAGGAGAAAACAGAAAAAGCAAGAGGTAGAAGGGAAAATGAGTATGTGCAATTAGAATGGGATCTTAAGAAAGAAGAAAGCTGGAGAAAGGAAAATTTCTGAAGTAGGAGTGAATCGATCAGGGAATGAGAAGAATGGATTCATCTGGGCTGGTACCAAAATGAGGGATTTATGTGGGCACATGGCTACACCCATATGATGTTGTATATGTGAGATGAGCCTGAGAAAGGGGCTACAGCATTTTACTTTCTTTGCTAAGTTTGCATTTTATGTAATAGCTAGAATTTGAGAGTGTGGGTTCAGTTCTTTATACTATCATACATTTTCTGCATGGTATAACACAACTGAAGCCAGTTTTTATATTATGCAGGACAACTGGAATTTGTCAGGATTTACCAAAATGCAGAATTTCCTCAGGCTCATCGGGTCTTAGTGGTTTAATGAGCTACACATCCGTCACTGGGAGAGCTCTATACCCTAGTTCAGCATCTGTAAAATGGGGCTAATAGCTCTGCCATAGTGCAGAGGAGTGTTGTGAGAATTAATTCTTTAAAGACTGTGATGGTGCTATGTACACAAATCCCAAAGATAAATGAAGGCAGAGTCACAAGCTTATATTGCAGTACTTCAAAGCTGGAAAAATATTTTTAAGTTAACTGAAGAAAAGAATTTTGCCCTACTGCCTCTGCTAAATGTTATGAGAAATATTTGAGTAATCCCTTGTGTGCTTGCAGTGTTACATGGGAGTCATGGTAGCATTAGAGAATTTACATGCAACTTCCATTCATGGGAACACTGTAAGTCATTACTTGCCTCTGACAGTATGTGTATTTTGATGCCTTTCCTGTTTTGCTGTGTTCAAAGTGGCATCTTTCATTGATATATGTTCATTACTGATTTAACATGCAAATATTTTTATTAGAGATGATTTGAAAGTCATTTAAAATGTGTTATTACAATATCTTTCAAAATTTTTATTGGTATATTTTTGCTTTTGCATTGATAAAGTTTCTTCATTAGCATGATTTGGTATGCTGGTTTAGTGTTTTTCTGGGTCAGTATTATGCCGAGTGAAGTAATAGTCATGAAGAAACACTTTAAGCAAAATCAGTCATTAAGGAGGCTCACACGTAACAGGTAAATTAAATACATGAATGTAATGAATAAAGAATATCTACTTAAGGAAAAATCTGCATATGGCTATGTAGCATATGTGCTGGGGTGAAATTAAGCCATAAAATTGCTACAATTGCACAAGGGTTTTCTCCATGTGTTCAGGTGTTTTGGTTAGTATAAGGAAGACGTGTAGTGGACAAAGCTGCTTTTGGTATAAAGAATGAAGGAAAAATAATCTCTTTGGGACAGAGTTTTGTGTTTATACAATCTCCACAGCTATAGAACCCTGACTACATTTCCTGGACATTACAGTATTCCATGTAGTAAATAATCTTCGAATTATTCAGGACCTATCAGAAGTTATCTTAGTCAATGTAATTTAGAAATGGCTTTGGCAGATGCCATTCAGGAACCAAGGTGCAGGACTCCAGTATGTGACTTGTTAAATGCTGGCTACACATTCCGCCAGTAAGGCTGGAATTTGACTCCATATTCTAATACATGAAGTGTTAGAGTGTGTCTGTGTGTGAGCTACAGGTGGGATTCAATCTGGGACTGAAACACATATGCTTTTGACTCTGTATATAAGAATTTCTGTCTAATTTGCATTATAACCTCCCATCATGCTCAGGATAGATGTGAGGTTCAATTCTCTCCCCAAAATGGCAGCTGGAGGCCAGGTAGGGTGCCCCAGGGATTCTTCAGTGATGGCAGATACCTGAGCTAAGGGCAGTGAACTGACTAGAGTGAGGTGATCTGTTCTCTGGACTGTATTGATTGTATTGACTAGATTTCAATTGACTGTAATGAGAGCTTAAATATTTAGTGGAGATGTAAATAGCTGTGCTGTAAATTTAGTTGTTTAAATCCAGAACTGAATTTAATCCTAACTATAAGAAAAGATTATTTTTTTTCCTACAGTTTTTGTGTAAACTGTACTTTAGAGAGACACAAGCAGAGGGATGCAGTCAACACAAACTGGTTTACTGCATCTCTCTTAGCATATATTATATGAACAATTAACATACTTTAACAACATAACATTTTACAGGACCAAGCAAAGGTGCAAAAGGCTTCTCTAGCTACCTACAAAAGCTCAGATGCTAGATTCTTGTGTAATTATGTGGAAAAATTATTGGCACATGTTGGCAGATGGACCTTGTTAACTCCAGAGAATGTAGCAGAAGTGTTTTGCTGTAGAGTACTAGAGGCTGCGTGGGGTGCTGTACAGAATCATTAGATTGGAAAGACATTAAACTGAGATATGCTTCTCTGAATTAATAATGTCAAAGCCCCAAATAATATAGGAAGTATTTTACATCACGCAGGTCAACAGATGGTTGCATATTATTATCATGAACAAACAGAAAACATGTTTCTAGCTTTCCATAATCAGGTTTGAAAACCACTTCAGACTTATTTTATATCACTGACCCATGTCTTCAGAACAAATCATAGCTATTTATTGATGGACACATTTTTGGAATCTGTGAGCGTTTGTAAACTAAACTGATCTGTAAAAGAAGCTTCAGAACAGTCTGGGGTGGGGTTTTTTTTTGTTTGTTTTCCCCTTCACCCTCCTTCCCCAAGACCTTGCAGATGGCTTTGTGAAAATAGCTTTGTGAAATAGCTGATCACCTTTAAGTTAGTGAAAGGCTATATGATGTATCAGATGCTTCTGGGGCATCCCAGCTGCCTTTTGTGATAGGAAGTGTCTCAATTTAAGAATAACTGGAGATTTCACACATCGTGTTACTTGAAGTGTCACCTTTTCAACTCAGAAGCAGAAGTCCTTCAAAACCACAAAAACACCACTGCTTGGGAAAGGGGCCAGAAACGTGTTTCTAAAAGAGTGGAGTTCTATTCCAGTTTTAGACATGATTAGGTCATTGATTCATTTGTTGTCCAGCAAAAGCATGCAGTTTAGGTTTAATTAATACACATGAATATTTTTGGTCTGATGCGAGAGTTATTTTGGCTCAGGTCCCAAGCAATGGCTTTTAACCAAACTGTTTGATGTTGGAGTTTGTCCCTTTTTATTGAACTCTCCTATGAAATCACTAGACTTAGGAATCAGTCTTTCAAAGCAAAAGCTTCTTTTAATTGTTAAAGTAAGTAAGTAAATCCCCTCAATAGACCATAAATAAGTTCCAGATGAATGCCTGAATTTACTCTTCACAATATTTCTTAGTTTTAACAGGACACAGTTAAATCACTTTGTGCCCAACACAACGTAACAACCAACATTATGCAGACCTAAACCTATTCAGTTTTTTGTTTGACATTCCATTAAAAAGAGTGAATTTTTAGTGAAAACAGTCTGGTTCTGTATTTGTAACACAAACATTGTGGACTCATAACATAAGGACTCATAACCTAAAAATGAAATAGACCACAAACAAAATTGAAAATTACTCCACTGGGATAGATTGTATTTTAACAGGTAGTTCTAAGTAAGCGATGGTGAGTAGCTTCATGGTCCAAAGAAGATCTTATTGCTCCCAAGGCAACAATTTGACACTAATGATGCTAATAAGAAGCAAATTCTTGACCTTTACAAATATTCTGACCTGTTAGGCCTGGCATGCTAATAAAAGAAGAGTTAAAGTGCCCTTTACTCTCTTTTTCTATTTACTTTTCCCATCTTTATTTATCTTAGACAGTCATTCCCGAGATATTTATCACTGTCATGAAATAAATATACTGACAGCTGTAAACTTCGAAGCAGGGCCTATTTCGGAGATGTTTATTGGTTTAGGTCATTAGTCTTGAAGCATTAAGGAGTATGGTTAGTGTTAGGATATTTTGAGTATGGAGCCATATGGCTCCTGCAACAGACTAGCGTGACATTGCAAACTTTCAGTGGTCTGTGTCTTATAGTCCATGACATCAAGCACTAAGGTTATACCTGTATTAATAAGTAGTGCAATGCGATTGGAACAGATTTATTATTGAAAAACATTGTTTCTGACAGTTACGCTGTATAGATTTAACTGGTTTTTAATTTGGACTAGCATTAGTGTGATCCTATGGTCAAAAGGCCATGAAGAGTTGGAGCACATTTTGTACAGTCCTGGAATGTACTGTGATGTAGATCCACCAAAAAGGAATGGGCTTCTCATGCTCTGAAGCTGCTCTGCAGTCCAAAACACAGTCATTCAGTGCGGTCAATTCAGAGGTTCACTTTGAAAGTGAATAATACAGATTTTGAAAGTGAATAATAAAATTGATACAAGCTATTACAAAGTTTTTCATTATTCCATGAAAACTCATGAAGAAACTTTGATTTTCATGTATGTTTTTAAAGCTGACACTTTTCCCCTCAGCTTCTGGAAATTTCAGTTTTGAATATTTACGGCAGCCGTTTATAAATAGATTAAACAGCAGAAAGCTGCTTTCGAGTGAGGAGTGCTTGTTATTATTTTGTAAATTCCATTAAGCAGGCATCAGCGGTCTAATTGTTTTGCAAGATGTGCCCAGCAATGCAGCTGGTGAAGAGCTCCCTTTCTTATCGAAAGATGATTACAATTATTATATGTAAGGCTGTAAAACACCATTTTATTTTGAATTAGATTGATTAGAATGGAGACCTGCTTTTTTTTCTGATAAAGATTAATCCAGATTTTTGAAGGAAATTATCTCTCCACACCACAGCTTGGCATATGAAATGATTTTTGCAAGTATAACCTTTGAACCAAATAAAAACAGTAAAAGGAGAGAAACCCTATTTAAATTTATTACCTGTCAAGTAATGAAAACTATGCAAAAAGTCTGTATTTTTCACTCTTTATTTCTATTTTTCTTGTAGCCCAAGCAGCGCACATCAATAGTATCTTCTCTGGAATTTCACCGAATGAATCACAGCCACAATTATTTTGAAATCAACACATCCATTGGCTGTACAAGTTTTATTTCTACTCCTGCAATCAGTCCAGCTAATTATTCCTTTGGATCTTTGGAATGCAGTGTTGAAGAGAAAGAACTTCCAGGTATAGAAAAAAAAAGCTTACTTTGCCTGTCAGCAAGGCTTTACAAAACTATTGGTCCTTGTGTTTATGCTGGAATTGCTATTGTCTTTGGTAGTGAAATACATTTATCATAAATACACGAAGTTATTTCTTATCTTTTTCCTGCTGCTTAAAAAAGATTCTCATATTCTGTGACCAATATTTTTAAAATACACTTTTTCCTGAATGTTACATTCTGAATAAACCAAACTTTGTTTTACAGAAATGTCATGAACTTAGGTATTGTAGTTTTTGAAATTACAATGATTCAGGTAGATATCTACTATCATCTTTGTGTGGCCAGCATACTTGAATATCAATTTCAAGTTGAGAAAATATAATTAGAAATCATTATGTAACCATCAGTAAAGATTAGGGAAGGAAGATTTCTAAGTAACCTGACATTGTTTCTGCAAGTAGTAGTCATTGAATAGTTAGGGACGTGCTTCAATAAAGCAGAACTTTGATATATTTGCTCTGATGATGAGTATAATAGAATAATAGTGTGATTGTAACTGTGAAGTTTTATCTGTATATAGAAGTTTAAATAATGAAAATGCTTTAAAAAGGATTCGAATAGTTTCTTCTTCACAGACCAAAACTTCAAGAGCAAGAAAGTATTAATAAACTATGCATTAGGTACTTCTGCCCCTTCAAATTTCATATGCGAGTTGCTTTATTTAGGCTAAACTTGTAGCAGAAGACTGTAGTATTTTGGAAAGCCAATGTATTGAAACAAATGTCTTTTGGTAGCTAGTTTATATGATCTGCAGATGGAATTATTTCCTTTAAAGGTATACTGTATTTAACATATAGATAGAAGTAGATTAATATAAAAAAACAGAAATATTGAAATTCAGTACATACTTATCAGTTGGCTTCTGGAGCATTGGTCTTTAAATGAGATGAATCCTCTACATTCCTAGTTGTTAGGCTTTGAAAGTTCTGAAAAGTGTTGCTTTTAAAGGATCAAAAAAAATTAGTTTCCTACTTAGATCAAAGGAAAACTATGTTTTTAAAGAACTTTCATGAAATAAGTTGAGTGAGAAATCCTGTTATTGTGAAGAAAAATTTAAAATGATCAGAAATTATTCATATTATTTTTCTTGGCCTTTTTCTTGGATTTTTCATTGTCTTTGAAACTAAAGAACGTGCTTATATTCACAGATATGGCAAATCTTTTCAAGCCTATCTGGAAATAATTAATTTGAATGGTGTCTTTTATTCCTAGGTCTGGTGTCTTTTGATTCTTTAGGGTTTTGGGTGGGTTTTATTGTTATTGTTTTTTTCTACTGTAAAGTCTATGCAGAACAATATCACAATTTTATTCTGCGTAGTTGAATGACACTTAATATGTCTTGATATTTAAAGGAAAATATAAGAAAACAGAACATTCACTGGAGTTAGATAATGAATTTCTCCAGACTTCTGATGTTGCATGGTTTTGGTTAAATTCTGCATAATATCTGGATTTGTTTTACTTTTATCTTTGGTTAAATCTACAACAGATTGCACTCAATAACTTCTAATAACTGCATTGGATTTGGTCTGAAATTGGAACTATAATCTCATGCTTACTAGAACTGCACATTTTTAATTTGTGGATGATTTGATTTATTGATTGAGGTGAAGCTGGATTTCCTCTTGTCTCTGCATAGAAAGCTAAGAAAAATTAACAAAGGCAAAATGACTGAAGTTCTAGGCATCTTCTACAAGTTTTTCAAGAGTACAGTTTACCAGAAGTAAATTGTTGATTTACCATCTTTAAGTGACATAATTATGATAGAAGTGGATACTGATTTCTACCCTATAATTATTTAAGTAAAATATAGGATCACAGGTGAGACACAATCTGAGCCTGAATGAAAAAAAAAAAAAAAACAAACCCCAAAACATTTTACTTTGCTCATTAAGGTCCTTTTGACTCCTTAAAAAAGGTAGGTGAGTTGTAGTTCTGCAAGTGACAAGGAATACTAATGTGTAAAGAGAAGAGCAAAATCCGGAAAGAGCAGATCAAAAATGTCTTTTCTTTAAAATGTCTCTGATTCTTGTTGTTTACCCGGATTGTTAAAAGCTGAACTTTCAATAGTGAAGGTTAGCAAGGAGTAGCAGAAGCAGAGTTCTGCTACAGCTTTTTTTCTGCTTTAGCTAGCTGTTGTTTCGCTGAAAGGTTCCTTGTTCCTTTTCCAGATCTACAGTGAAAACAAATACAATTCATCATATGTCTTGATTATAATCCTCTGAATTGCCAACTTGTTCTGAAAATTCATGGAAGACCTGCACCTTAGAAGAATGTTTAATTCATTTATAATTGAGGATTGGCAGAGGGATTGGACTAGATGATTTCCAGCGGTCCCTTCCAAATCTGATGATTCTGTGATTTGTGTGAATTTGAGTGTTTCATTCTATATTATATTCTTGGACATTTATGTGTCTCATGTTTATTTTAAAAGCTGTCATCAGCAAAAAGCAATGAATTATTTTGTCATGCTTATTGAGGTCAAGGGTCTTCTGGTTGACCAGAAAGAGATAATATACAGAAGGAACCCATTTTCATAAGTGCAGCTAGTAGTTTTCTGTTGTCTTCTTTGAAACAACCAAAATGAATTTACAGGATTTCTAAATCAGGAACTGCCATCTAAATAAGGAATTAGTATTTCCCTACTCAATTTCAGTGTTTTCATATTTTCTTTGGGGAAACTTGTAATGATTCATCATCATTTAGACAAGAATGGGAGATGAATACAGCAAAATAATTATTCTGATTCTAAAAGTCTTCATCATTTTACCTCTACCTCAAAAGTCTGCTACCAAAGAAGAATCAACCTCTTGTAACTCTTGGTGGATTAGAGAAAACTCCTTTTTATTTTGGGGATCACAGTTCTACTCTTAGTGTTTGCTAATTCCCTACATTCCCTGATTTGAAACAGGGATCCTGATTTTCAAGGAGTGTATTTCTGTCAAGTAGAAAAACACTGACCTCTACCACAGTACTATATTATCTGACTGACAGCATATGACAACATTTTCTGATTAATTAGCTGCAGAGCTGTCCACATACAATGGTAAGTATGTGCTTTAGCTTTGGCATTGGATGGCCTTGTTGTGTAAACAAAACTATGTGTGTTTCTTGCATGGATAGTAGAAAGCATCTTAGTACCTGGTTGCCTGAAAGCAAAATATAGATTGTGTTAGTTTTGAACTTTAACTGGTGGAAGAGCCAGCAAGTTGGTGGGAACTCTTCTCTCACTCTAGTGTACACAGGGTAGACTGTGAATGCAGCTTTGGTGTGGCCTATTTTCACAGCTTTATTTGCAGCAAGAACATGGACTTCATAGAAGTATTCTCAAATTCAGAGTGAATGATTGTCCTTTTATAGCATTGTATTTCAAGTCAAGTTGGAAATAAGTGTATTCAAATACTAACAGCTGCTACCATTAAATTTTCTATATTAAAAGTGAGTCCACTCCATAGGACAGGGAGATCATTACTGAGTGTAACTCTGTCATGGCAAGATGGTAGTCATTTTCTTGATCATCTGAATTCATGTTTAGTAGGTGTTTTTTGTGATAACAAAAATGAAAAATTAAAAACCTCATAATCAGTTGATGGTTTTGTATGTGAGATGTTCCTCATGTAACTTTGACCATGAAGACCAGTAGATGTGCAAGATCATTCACTCCAGAAGAGGGCAGTCTGGGCTTTCAGGAAGATGCCTCTTTAATATCATAGCTCTATGCCTTGTAATATACATCCCCGAAGTTCTTTTGAAACTGTAAATTTCAAAGATTAAAGGCAGCAAAACTGTGGCCATCTTGGTAACATCAGCTTGGCACAATCAACACTTGCAGTTGAAATAGTCACTCTGGATTATGTTATTTTTCATTTCTGCTTGATCAGTCAGAATAATGGGTTTTTCTCTTGTTGCACTGAGTATAATTGTGTTGTGATATTAAAAAGACATTTCCGTGGATATTCTTGTTCTGTTTCAGGTCAGGAAATAGATCTGTACTCATATGAATGTATGCAGCAAAAATGCTGACAGTTGCCTGTAGGTAATATCATTGCAATCTTTATTTTCAGTCCATTAATATCTTTGAAATTTCACTAAATTCTGTATACCATTCATTTTAAGAGAGAATACTGGTACCTAAAAGTATTTACTGAGTGTATTGCTTAGTTATAAGGTCTGTAGAACCTTAATGGAGCTCTTAATCTCTTTACATGTCTTGTTTTCTTACTATGAGTAAAGGCTGTATCATTCCTTAAAACAACCTAGAATGTACAATTCAAGAATTCTCTTTTATATATGGACTTTTTTTCAATATTTCAGTCACACCTTAGGATTGTTCTAGAGGTGTCTTCAGATCTTTCTTTAAAGTAAATGTTTGATCAAATTGCTTTGTCTCACAAACCAAATTTTTCCAATTTCTCTGAAGCAAAAGCAGCCCTACACTTAAAGATAAGCTTGCAGTTTTATCTGTTTTGAGAGGATCAAGATATTCAGCATATTAGAATTAGACACTTTGTTCAGAGGCTCCTAGCTATGCTGCATTCCTAGATAGAGTTGAAATTTATTCAGCTTCAGGAATGCTCCTTTATGTGACGTTAATGAAGCTGAAGTAGGTCACATATTTGTCAACATTACTTTCTTATTCAAATATCTCATTTATTAAGATCTGATGTGAAAAGATCAAACTGTGGTGTTTATGTCGACTCTTCAAGACTTGTTTCTTCAATTATAAAAAGTTTTGAAATTAATGGAAATGAAATACAAAATGAGAAGAATGCAAAGAGAAAAGAAAATGTCTTTTATTGCTACAGGGTATTCTTAGATGTGTGATCTGTTCGTGGTAGACTTTATCTGTTAATAATTCCTTACTAATTGCCAAAAGAACACATGGTTTTCCAGTGACAGAGAAAGAAGAAAAGATTGGCATTTAATTAAATAAGCATAATCAACAAATACAGGTAAATAAAGC